TATATATATATATATATATATATATATATATATATATATATATATATATATATATATATATATAGGACAAACCGTAATGCAGACGACATAGGATCCAAAAGCCTAAGGCTCCCCCAACACTAAAAACACCAGCAGTATGTCTCATCAATCTTGAACAAGGTTTCGAATCAGATCTCATTAGCTCACCATCAGAAAAACCAAAAAAACGTCTTAATGCCATTTTTCTTTTTCTTTTTTTTCTTTTTTTAAAAAAAGCGTTCCAGACACAAATTAAGTCCTTCAACACGAGCTTCCTCAGAATCAACCTGAATTAAACAAGAAAACAATTGTGTTAAAAACATACTTTAAATGAAGAAACAGCAATGTACTTTCATTTACTTGTTTGTGATGGAAAATGAATAATAAGCAAAAAATATCATATTTGCTCTACCTAATACTTATGTATCAGATAATTATATACATCATAAATAAACTTCCAAAATATCATACTTGCCAAAATCCTTTTTTTAAACATTTATTTAATCAATTTTATTCATCATTAAAAAAACTTAGATTGACCATAATACCCTTTCAAAATAGCAAGAGTACTTTGTATCTCATTTCACAAACCTTTATTGGATCATTTCTTTCTTCACAACATGGGTAGTAGGGTTCAGTTCATCATTGAAACTAGTTGAAATCAATAGACTCTTCACTTTAACAGTAGTTTGTTTGTAGCAAACTCTGGTTATTTATTTGGATTTTTTTAATTGTTTTCTTGATTTGCATAGGCTCCATTAACAAATCAAACTTATTAGCAATTAATAACTAAGAATTCAGTATACAAGTGAAAGAATCAAACTAGTGATAAACTTCATGAACCCTAATACCCATGTTGTGAAGAAATAATCCAGCAAAGGCTTGTGGAATGAGATACAAAGTACTCTTGCAATTTTAAAAGGGTATTATGGTCAATCTAAGTATTTTTAATAATGAAATGATTTTATAAACAAAAAATGTTTAAAAAAAAGAATTTGGGCAAATATGATATTTTGGAAGTTTATTTGCGGTATATATGATATTTAGATATAAGGTTTGGCAAATATGATATTTTGCTTATTACTTTAGGGCATATATGAAATTCTCCTAAAGAATAAGCCTGAAAGTATTTTATAGAAGAGGAAATTTTTTGAATATTTCTGCCATGTAAGCAAGATATCCCACATGAACAGTGATACAGCAGAAAAATATGTTAACCTGTGCAAACTCAATGAGCTTTGAACCCTAGGTTTCTTAGAAATTACAATTTTGGTTAGTTCAAGGCTCAAAATGAGAATTCCAATTAAAAAATAGTACAAAACATATCAGTAACAAAAGGGGTTGAATGCACATTTATTCAACAACTTTTCTCTTATTTTCCACTTTAAGCGACAAAATAGTTTTTTAGAGGAAATATGCAACACAATAGTATTTGATTAAATGCTTATTTATGCAACAATGTATCACTTTTTCACCAACTTATACCACAAAGATTCAGTTTTTTACAAACTATGGAACAGTCTTTCATTTTTTTTTACCAATTTATGCAATAAGGTTTCATTCTTTCAACCAATCTATGCAATAAGTGCAACCATATGTCAGATGGTTAAGCAAGTAGGTGGCACAATATTGTATCTTTTGGTTTCATTTGTCGCTAGATATTTCATACAAAAGCGACTTTCTTGCTTGCATAAACTGGGAACAGATGAAACGTATTTAACCCTAGAAAGCAACGGTGTCCTAAACATGACCATCTGCAACGATTCCCTAAAAACTACTACTATCAAGCGTACAATTTGTAGACTATGCCAAGTTATATGAACAATTAATCTAACGATTACAAGAAGAAGAAAGCAAATTGATGAATTAGGTTAATTATAGTGAAGAAAAGATGAAAAGGATGACCAAGAATTAGGGATTTACCAGATAAGTTGGAGTTATCGTTGTGATTGGGTGTAAGTGTATTGTAGAAACGTGTGAATCGGTGGCGGTTTGAGGGTTTGGGAAGCGAAGGTTTCTTCTTAAGACCAAAAATCTCCTGGACCAAAGGGACGTGAACCAGTAGCAGTTTCCAGGCCAAAAACCAACCCAAAACAAGCAACGAAAGTACAAAAGAGACGGCGAGGATTGGCCGGAGAATCAGGAGGGTGAAGCGATCTGAATATGAAAGTGAGCACCCAACAAATGATTCCATTCACCAGAGGAAAAAGCTTCTGCTAATGCAATAAGAGCGTGTTTTGGGTGGACTTGGAACCTGTTTGGTCACGCTTTAAAAAAAAAAGTTTTTTTTTTTAGTTTATTACCTATTGTTAAATAAGTATTTGGATAGTGACGTTTATAAAAGCACAAATGATATAAAAGAGAAAATTATAAATTTAGCTAAAAACCATAATTACTTTGTGAAAAATAGTCAAAAAAAAAAAAAAAAAAAACCCAAATTACAAAAATAGCCCTTAAAATCGCTGATGGATTAAGCTCATCTGCGATTTCGCATTTTCATCTGCGAACGTACAAGTGTCTAAAGCACATATGTGTTTTAGGCACTTGTACGTTCGCAAATGGAACAGTCCATCTGCGATTTCCTTCGGTTCATCTGCAATTTCATAATGGAATAGTATAAAAATGTTTTTTTTCTTCATTTTTCACTCTCTTTCTTGAAGAATCTCTCTCTTTCTCTGCGATTTCCTTAGAGCCATCATGGACGATTTTTTTTTGGAAAGGGAACTTCCCTAACGAGGGTTTCCGGGCCAGCTTTCGCGCACCGACTAATCCCCCGCTGCAACATGAGGCTTTGCCTCATGCCCTGGAGTCACTGCAAGCGAACCTCCATGGTCACAAGGGTTGAGTAGTGTCAGGATTTGAACATGGGTCAATAGGTTATCCACCATATCTTCCACATGCCTTACCAAGTCACCACAACCCAAGTGGTTATCATGGACGATTTCTTCAACAATCCCGAAAATATGGTAAGATCTTAACTCATTTTGTGTTTTAATCAACATTTATCAAGTGTAGGTTTTGTTTATTTAAGATTTATTCTATTAGTTTTTGAAAAAAAAACAAACTATATTGTGTGTTATTGGATAATTGTGTTGTATTTGATAGATAGAGTAGTATTTATTAATAGCCTTGAAGTTTTGATGTTATTTGGTTAGTGGTTGTATGAATATACAAGTATACAATGTGTAAAGTGTGCATTGGGTTGTACATTTGGTAATTATTTGTTAATAAGTTTAGTGAAATGAGTTTTTTTAATAAGATAATGATTCTTCTTGATTGATGTGGTATTACAT